TGCTGGCTGCCGTGTTTCGTGCACACAGCACTTAACAGACTAAGAGGACTGTTTCATGCAGAACAAATTCCTTTTGGCACTGTGTGCTTCCTTGGGACTCACACTTCAGGTGTCACATTGGATGTCCAACTCTTCCATTAGTGGGGTATCTAGGCTCGATAAGGAGAGCTAGCCATGACCACTCTATTAGCTGCTCAGGAACACTTTCCCTAATGGTTTTAGCTACCAGTCTTTTTCATTGTCTACATCCCATTGTGTTGCTGAGTAAGATGGGGTACTTGTGACTCTGCTCTTGAGGCTGCCACTGGAAATTATGCCACAAACCATTGGAAGTCATTCGTGTGACAAATGAATTCTCTTTTCCTCACTCTACAATCTTACATGTTTTGTTTTGCTCTATGTTGATGTTTTGAAAATAAATTTAAACCCAAGCCTTATGGCACATTCTAATCCCAGCACTCTGGAGGCAAGAGGCAGGTGGATCTCTGTGAGTTTGAGTAATTTTCTAAAGCTGTTTTAAATTTCTTCTCCCATTTTTAAATGATGATTTTGGTAGGGGGGTACTCTGTAATCCCGTTCTTGTATTTATTCAAGCTTTTCCATTTTCCTTGGACGGTGTTTATTGGCACAAAAGTCATTTAGAAGAAGCTGATTAATAGATAGGGCCTTACCAGGACTTCTATGCAAGGAAACCTGTTTTACAAATACATCCTGGTCGTACCTTGCTGGGAAGTTCCTCAGTGTTCTGAGTTTGATTTCATTTCGGTCGTACCTTGCTGGGAAGTTCCTCAGTGTTCTGAGTTTGATTTCATTTCATCAACGAATCAAGAGTAACCTCTGGGAGCAGGAGCGATAATGGCTCAGGGATTAAGAGCACTTGCTGCTCTTTCAGAGAGCAGGAGTTGAGATCTCAGGGCCCAGCACCCAGGCCAGCCCGCTTTCAAGCTGTGACTTGATCCAGGGCATCCCACAACCACTTCTGGCCTCTCTCTTGTCCCATTTACGTAATTTAAAGAAAAATAAACCTTTCTAAAAAGTAAACTTTGAAGAAGAAACAAGAAGAAATTCTGTTCACCTTTCCACGGTTACCACTACCTTAATCTGTGCCTTGCTCGACGCCTTTAAAGATCTCATAGGACAAATTTTACGATGTCAATATTTGACGCAGCGTCCCGCACAGGGCACCGCCCAAACAAGTCCTGCCGTGCTCCAGCCACTACCCGGCTCCCCCCGCCCCGGGGCCTTTTCCCACCTCCGCCCATGAAGCCGCTGCGGGCGTCCCCTACAGGACGAGCGCCACCACCTCGCGCTGCCACCAGAGATCGCAAAGCTCCATTGCCCACCGCTCCTGGACGCCCACCGCCACGCACCTCGGATGCTCAGCAGTGCCAGCCTTCTCCACGGGAGGGGCGTTCCCAAACTGTGCCAGCGCATCTCAGAAAGGGGGAACGCCAGCGTGCCCAAGGTCACAGAGCCTCTCCTGTGTGCACCAGAGGAAAACGTGGAGGACCAGGGCATTGTTCACCCAGACCTGCACAGCGCTGTCCGCAAACCGGTACAACCCTTGAACATGCTCCCGATGTTTGAACTCCGATATCTAGGAGATGGGGTGGGTGGGCATCCACGAGGAGTTAGGGCGGGGAGTGGGATGAGTATGGTAGAAATACACTGTATGCATGTTCATAATTCTCAAGACTAATAAAATATATTATGAAAAATCTGTCTATGAGAGACTAAAACAAAGAAATAAGAGTGATGAAGCTCTTGCTACCCTCCAAAAGACACCCCATTTTAATGCAGTAGTCTCCCTCCTGTCCACTGGGAAGACTTTCTAAGGCATTCTCCAAATGACTGAAACTACCCATTATACTCAGCTCATGTACAGTATGTTTTTTTAATGTATGAATACCTGCGATAAAGCTTAACTTATAAATTAGATTTTATAAGAGAAAACAAGAGTCTTATTAAACAATGGTAACATGTTATAAGGAAAGTTGTTTAAAACGTATAAATTATTGACTTCTAGAAGTTTCTATTTAATATTTCTAAGCTTCAGTTGACTGGAAACCACCAAAAATGAAATCAGAAATAGATAGGATTTCTGTGTTAAGAAAAGCTAAGGAGTGTACTGGCCGTGGCCAAATGTTCCAGATGATACTGTGCTGGGCTTTACTATATAATCTCTTGTTTCGTTTTATTTTACTTCCTCCTTCACTAGTATTTTGCTCCCTCCCTGAAGTAACTGTTCATCTTAAAACAGATGTGCCTCTTTGTAGCATGTTCCTGCGTGTATCCGTATGCTTAACCTCAAATGAGTGGAAGGCTTAAGCTTGTAAACTGATGGAAATAGATAAAAATAAGGGCATTTTCACAATTCTGTTTATCTTGCATTCTTAACCTTTTTATCCTTAGAAATTTAAACAGCATCTTGATTGAGACATTTCGGGAATAAATAATGGCTTCCATTGCTAGATACTTAATATTTGGGCACTGTACAGTATTTAATGCCCACAGCCTTATTTAACTTTCAAATACTTTGTGGACCCATTTCATACACCACACCAGCAAGATACAGAGAGCAGGAGTATACATGCCCAAGGTCAGAGTTTAGTCAGGATTTGGCTTTAGGCAGTCTGACTCTCGAGCCATTACTCTAAGCCATTAAACAAATTGTAAGAAGATCCAGATGTATATATACCTCTTTTAAAAATAGTGACGGATGTGTCCTACCTCCAGAGACTGGGATTTATGTAATCTGGGATGTGGACTGAGCCCTGGAATTTTAAAATTCCAGATGAGTCTGACCCAAGAGCACTTTAGGAATGACATAGCATTGTTTTAAGTGGGACATTACCTGATGCTGGCAAGCTACTCCATCCTGCCAGTGATGAAGTAACCTCAGAGTGTCTTTCATGAAAAATGGTGCTCGTTGGGAGACATAGCATGAAAGAGTAATAGTTTTGTTACTTGTTCCTGTTACCTGTACCTACAGATGGTCCATTAGGACTGGCTCAGCATTATAGTGACACTGACCCCGTGGATGTGAGGCTGAAAACCCACGTTAGTAGTATAGGAAAAGCCCATAGAATAAAGCTTTGACTTTGTAGATGACAGCCCAACAGAGTCATAAGCTACTCTCCCCCTTTCCATGGATCAGAACGAGTTCAGCCTTTAAAAGAACAACTAGAAATGGCTGAGGCCAATCCTTTTTTCCATCAGGTGGCCACCTCCACTTCTGCCTCCTCTGTGTTCTCTCATAGGAGCCAAGTCTGCAGCTGACTGGATTTTTATTTTTAACAGTGAACTAATAAAACCATGGGTACACTGAAGTTGTAAGTCATAATTCCAACTACCATTCATATATACAAGGTGCCTTAAATGCACACACACGAGTGAGTTATCATCTATCTATCTATCTATCTATCTATCTATCTTTGATCTTCACACAGATCTATTGTCAAACTGAATCTCACAGAGCTTAATCTGACTGTCAAAGATCATGTAGCAGATAAAGCAACAAAGCTGTTGTTTGAGCTGTCTCGCTGGTGCCAGCTCGGCCCGTTCTCCTTTCCAGAACACACCCCTGAGTGCGGAATGCACTCTTCCAGAGCCTTCAGATTGTGGTTAAAAACTCCCACAAAGAGATTCTGTCTGGAGCAGTCTGTCATTATGATGCCTATTTTGACAGGTCTCTGGACACAGTGACCTTATAATCAACTGCATTTTTCTACCAGAAACATGAATTTCTGTGCATGCATTTTCATTTGCATAATCATATCTCCTGGTATGGTACTGATATCTCAGATTTACCAATTTCTACCTGTCAAAGACACCACACTGAACATTTTTATGTATATGTCTTTGCCTGAATTTGAAACAATTTCCTTAGGGTACATTTCTAGAAACGAAATTGGGTTTCTATGTACCAACATTGCTAACTCACAGTCCCAACTTACTCTCTATGGTGCATGAACTTAAACATTTGTCAGCTATGCATGGGATGTACTTGCCATTCACCCTCTAGCACCTTATCCTCTGTTAAAAAAAAAAAGTTGCTAATTTAATAGCTTAAAGGAATCTCAGTTTTTATTTGCACTGTTTTGATTGTAAGTTTGATAAGAAAATAATAAAGTTGATTTTTAAGTGTTTTTGGAGTTTCATGGATTTTCGTATTTGAATTTAACTCATATTCTTAGCTTATTTTATTCTTGGCACATATTTTAGTATTTTTCCTGTTGTACTTTGGTATTCTTCAAATATTAACACTATTAAGTGTTTATCCTATTTGCTGTCTGATACTTACTGACCGTTTTGTTTCTTCTATAGATTTAAACTTTTTACACAGCTAAAAGTTTTTGAAGTTAACATACAAAACAGTAGGCTTCATTATTGCATTTTCATACATTATTTTTGTTGACCTTCCTCTTCCCCATTCTCCTTTCTCCCCAAATTCACTTTCAGGTTACATATAGACTATCACCTTCTTTATCCTTCCTTAGACTTCCCACCCCCGCCATGTTCCCCTTTCTAGTTTTGTGGCATGTCCTATAGACATCTATAAAACTTAAATTTTAGTATGAGAGAAAAGGTGATCTTTGTCATTCTGATTTTGTGGCTTGTTTTATGAAATACAATTCTAGTTTCACTTCGTTTTCCTGCAAATATGATTTTGTTTTTCTTTACAGAAAATAATTTTTCTTTACAAAAATGTCCTTTTGGATACACAGAAGTTTAAGTTCTAAATATTTTCATCTTTTTGGCCAATTTTAATCCTAGGAGATTAAAACCTGGTGATTAAATGTTCTATTTTCTTTCCAGTCCAGCTTTAAAAAACTTGAAGCTCTTGATTTGTGTGTGTGTGTTTTAGTACATGGCATGATATATTTAACTTCAATATTATTCCCCAATAGTTACTTTTTTATGACCTCTTTTGATTTGTGATGTTATCCTGGTATCTTTAATTCCTGTCAAATCTAATTTTTGCTTTTATTTTCTTTTAGCATATCCTGTTTCCTGTGACTATGTAAGGAAATGGTAAGACCAAGGATAATACCATTCTCACACCTGAAATGGTGACCAGCAAAGCTAGAGGCGATTCTTCAGGAGAATTTGAGAGAAAGCCTGTCCTGGGGCATCTAAGGAGTCTCCATGCTTTCCCTTTGTGATAGGCCTTTTTAGAATCAGCATTTCTATGGGAAGAAAGGAGAGCTGGGGGTGTAGCTTGATAGTTGAGATTTGTTTAAAACCAAACCACCACCAAAATAAAGAAATAGCACAGGCATAAGTAAGAAAGGGGCTGGAGAGATGGCTCAATGCTTAAGAGGACTGGCTGCTCTTCCACAGGATCCAAGTTTGATTCCAACACCCACAGGGCAGCTTACAGTAACTGTAACTCCTGTTCCAAGGAATCCAGCACCTTTTTCTGCTTCTGCAGTTACTACATGCCCATGTGTACAGACATACAAGCAGGGAAAACACTCATACGCATAAAATTTAAAAATGACCCAACAATAAGGAGGGAAGAAGAAAGACACAGCAAAAGGTGCCCGGGATACTCGTGTTTGGTGCATTTCATAGTAGACCTACACTTTCCAGGTCTTAGGAGTCTGCACTGACAATCTCATGTCATAGACTGCATGAAGCTCTAGGTGAATATATATCAATCCTTGCGTCTAAGTAAGATATAGTAGCTAATGACATAAACAAGTGCCTTTGGTGAAAAAGGGTGTGCATATGAGCATGAAAACAGATGCTGCCTCCTGCTTTGACCAGGGCTTGAGAGACCGAGAATGCAGATGAGTTAATTGTAATAATGGGGACAACTACGGGAATCTAGAACATGGGATGTAGGCGAGAAGGGCCCTGAGTGGTGTAAGTGGAAGGAAGTCACATCCTTCTTGCTGCCCTGTAACCTGTATTTGATCTAGCAACTTTCTTGAGTGACAGCAAATTTAAAGTGTATCATCACTGGATTTATTGATAGCCCCATGCTTTTGCTTGTAGAATGCTTAACTAAGTCTATATTTTAAACAATTAAATACCTGTTCAGTCAGCACTTACTGAATACAAGGTTGCCAGTGAGAAAGGAAAAAGGTACATGTACTGAGTATTCCGGGCACATAGCATTTTGGGATGGATCAATTCATCTCTTCTAATTATTTTTATTCTGGCTTCCTATTTGCTTTCAGGACTGTTGAAATTATTGTTTCCTCTGAAATGGAATGATGATCAGTCTGAAAAAATGTGCACAATTATCCATTGTTCAGATGCAACTTAGCAGCATTGGCTCTGACCAACCTACTGAAGGCTCAAACTCCTCATCAGACGCCTATTCCCTTCATTTACTTAAAAACTAGTTTATCACTTTTATTTACCTGTGGGTGAGGACATGCATGCCATGGTGTGTGTGTATGGAGATCAAAGGGCAACCTGTCAGAACTGGTTCTTTCTTTCCTACACATGGGTCCCAGGGATTGAACTCATGTCATCAGGCTTGCCTGCAAGCTATTTTACTCTGAGCAATCTTGCTGGTCACTTTTTTTTTTTTATTCCATTTCATGCCAACTAACTTTTTTTTTTCAAGACAGGGTTTTTCTGTGTAGTTTTGAAGACTGTCCTGGAACTAGCTGGGTAGACCAGGCTGGCCTTGAACTCATGGATATCTGCCTGCCTCTACCTCCCGAGTGCTGGGATTAAAGACATGTGCCACCACCTCCTGGCTGCCTACTAGCATATTATATGCTTATATTGTTTCATTTATTGCCTTTGTGCCCTGGCTCAAGTCTGTTTTCAGCACCAGTGAGTAACCTAATCCAAGGATACTCCTAATTTATAGAAAGTATGGAATAACCATGCATTTGATAAAGCCAGGCATTGTGGAACTTACACCTGTAATACCACCTCTTAAGAGATAAAACAGGAGGATTGCTTTGAGTTAGAGGCCAGTCTTGGCTACATAGAAAGACCTTGTCTCAAAAAACTCAAACAAATAAAAAAGTTACTAAATGGATGAACTAAGTTCATTGGTAACAAGAGACACCAGAGCAGGTCGGCAAGATGGCTCAGTGGGTACAGGCACTTGCTACCACAGCCAGCCTCCTGGGCTCAAGCACGGGGATCCACTTGTTGGAAGGAAAGAAATCACACCTTAAAGCTATCCTCTGACCTCCACACACATATTGTGGGTCACATACTTCTCCGTGCCTGTGTTCATGCTCACACAATGAATAGAGGAGTAAGTACATGCAAAAAATTTAAAGAGACCCCAAAACACAGAACAGAGAAATTCACAGTAGGATAATTATTGGTTTAGAAAAACCTGTATATTTCAAAAGGATTAGAAGAACAAAGCTCTCAACACACAAAAAATAAGTAGAAATGCCCACTAACCTGCTACATTACATACTACCGATTCACTGTAACTACCACATAAAGATGTAAAAATATTATATCTCAATAAAAATTAGTACAAGGATAGTGGGCTTCATTTAAAAAGAGTAAATCCCAGATTCCCCAAGGTGTTTGAGTAATAACCTCTTAGGTGGGCAGGTTGTGTTTCAACCCCGTGTCCCTGAGGCTTTTCCTGAAAGCAATGCTGGTATCTGGGGTACAGTTGCACTGTTTATTTTATGGTCTGGTTGTGCATGTCAAGTCACCATAGCTACCGTGAGATCATGAGTGCAACAGTGAAGTCATGTCCAGAAAAGAGTCTAGTTCTATGCATGGATTAGAAAGCTCATTGTGTACAGTGTGGGGAACAGGTGGGCGGAGGCCATGTGTAGAGATGGGACATGGAGACCAGTGCATCGGTGACTAGGGTGAGGATGATACAAAGGAACTGAAGTTTGGTCTGTTTTTATCATTAAGTGTATGTATTGGCATGTGCGTGTGAGTACAGGTACCTGTAGTGGTATCTTGTTTATATTCTAACAAATAGAGCATGCCTTAAGATCAGAGGGCAGAGCCAGCCACTAGTTAACCATAGAGGTCTGGAGGTCTGTACAGACAGACAGGAAGTGATATGGCTGGGCTGAGAGAGGGATGTAAGGCTGGAGGAGACAGTCACTTGCTCTCTTTTTGGCTGGGAAGTTGAGAAGGCTGTGGCTTTTCTCTCTCTGATCTTTCAGCATTTGCCCTGATATCTGGCTGTGGGATTTTATTATTAAGATCAGTTAGAACTCACGTTGTAGGTACCCTTGGAGGCTCAGGTTCTCTGGAGCTGGATTCCCTAAAACTGAAGTTATAGGCAGTTGTGAACCACACAACCTAAATGCTGGTAACTGAACCCAGGCACTCAGCAAGAGCAAGACATACTCTTAGCCACTCCATTGAGTCATCTCTTCGCCCCCCCCAGCAGTCTAAGTCACCCCAAATATTCACTGTCCCCCTTACCCCTCCCCAGATAGAATCTTTTTGACAAGGGGTCATCTGTTGTAAAAATATTTCTAAGAATGCTCTGAATTAATTAGCTGGTATTTGTTAGTTTTTTTTCTAGAAAGAGAATTGAAGATCTTTCTAGACCGAAAAAGCAATGGGGAACTCCGGATAGGTAAGGCAGTAGTTTACAGTCTTGTTTGCAATGACTGTGTTTGCTACATCAATACATAAGTAGTATTCTCAGTTAACCATTACATCTGCATCTCAGGTGTAGCCACCATTTTATTTATCTGGGTTCACTTTGTCAGTATTGTTACCTCAGGGGACTGAACACATGGAAGGTTCAGTGTTCAATGTGTTCAGGACATGAACACATTAGTAGGTGGTTCCAAAATTTGTCTGCACATTAGGATCATGGAGGGAGCTTTGATACTGATCAAACACTGAATGCCGTACCCAGAAATCTGATTTAATTAGTTTAGGGGTGCAGCTTTGGGAGAGTTTAGAAGCTCCCCAGGTGCTTCTAATAAAGTTTTGAGAAGCATCTCTCCAGTTGGACTCCACACTCTTTTGAAACTCTTGGGTCCATTCTGCAAGACCCCTTTGCAGCCTCTTGGCATAGTGTCCTTCAGCCTCTGAGACTTTGCCCAGGACCTTTCTGTTCTCTGGGTCTCCAGCCGCCCAGCCCCCAGTCTTCCCTGCTGTAGGATTTCTCTTTTTCTTCTTTGGCTCGTGAATAAAGTCTGGTAGTTTTTGGAGTTTTAGACTTACAGAAAATCATTGTTTGCTTTATTGTGGTATTGTTATAACAGAGGAGCTAACATTTCATGCATTCCTGGAGTTTGCCTTTAATGTCTTGTGGTTCCATGGGGTTTGACAAGTGTATGATGGGGTACAGAATAGTTCACTGCCCTAAATTCCACTTTGTCCTCCATTCATTTCCTCCCTTCCCACTCTCAGAACCTCTGGCAACCACTGATCTGTTCATTGATTCTAAAGTGTTGTCTTTTCTGGGATGTCATAGCATTGGAATCATGCAGCACAACTCCAGAGGGGCTGGTTTCACTTGCTAATAGGCATTCTATGTATCTCTGTTTATGTTCATGTTTTGATATCATTTCCTTTCGACATATTCCATTGGACCCACTAATATTTCACTGTATATCCACACACTTATATGAGGATTGTTGCTAATAGTTGGCAATTATGAACAAAGCTGTCATAGCATTTAGGTACAGGTTTTGGTGTCTGGGATCTGACTCTCTTCCAGTGTATCTGGGTCATTTTCTGTTCTTGTTTCCAATGGGTGACAGTCCCTGCTGTCTCTCATCTCCCTGCCAGCCTTTGGTGTTATCAGTGTTTTAGCCTTCAGCCATTATCATAGGCATGTAGGAGTAGCTCACTGTGGGAATGTGCAGGTCCCTTACGGCATGATCTGCACGTTTTATGGCCTTCTTTGCATATTTCCTTTATTTGAGGTATCTGGTTAGACCTCTTGACAAGTTTTAATTGGACTCCCTGTCTTCTTGCTGTTAATCTCAAGTGTTGTATTTTTTGGGAACCAGTGTTTCATCAGGTAAACACTGTCTTCTGGTCTGAGTTTGTCTTTTTGTTTTCTTAGTGGTGTCTTTCACAAAGCGAAACTTTGATTTCAGTTAGAGTCAGTTTCCTGTTATAAATTCTTGTATCTGCAGCTTCATTGGCAACATTACTTGGATTTTCTCTTGCTATTTAGAGACAGTATTTCAAGTACCTTAGATTGACTTTAAATTTCCTATGCAGCCCAGGATGATTTTGAAGTCTGGATCCTACTGCCTTCATCTCCCAGCATACCCTTCCGCTCTGACCCAAACCTGCCTAGTTCAGGAAACGATCGTCCCCAATCCCCATCCGACCTCAGCACGCTGTGGGCTTCAATTCCAGCTGTCTGGACTTTTCACCTCCTTCTGTGGAACCTTCTCAGGGAAGCCTGTACTGATTTCCCCTTTCTCCCTCAGCCTGGCACAGCAGGCATACTGTTTCACTGGGCTATTGGGACTAAATGCCATGATGTCTTCAAACCACTTATCATGGTGCCTAGTACATAGTAAATGTTCCACAAATGGTTGCGATTGATGCTATCCTGTTACTGTCTTATTTTATGACCACCTGGTACAGGGGTTCACCCAAAAAGGGAGCACTGTGTAGACTTTGGCTTATCTGCTTTATGCCATTCTGACTACAAATTACACTGCTAACTCCATGAAGGCAAAACTGATCTATCTTGTCCTTAATAGGTTCCTTTTAAGTCACCATCAATTTTTATCATAGTCTCCTCTCTCTCTCTTCTCCCCCACCTGTTGTGGTGTGTGTGTGTGTGTGTGTGTGTGTGTGTGTGTGTGTTGTGTTGTATTGGTGGTCAGAGGACAACCCTTGGGAATCAGGTCTGTCCTTTCACTGTGGGATCTGAGATTCGAACTCAGATTGCCAGTCTTGTGCAACAAGTGCCTTTTTAACCAGCTGAGCCATCTCACTGGCCCTTACCATTTGTTCTTTTTTTTTTTTTTTTTTTTTTTTTCCTTTCAAACCTTCTTTTCTTAAATGCAGTAGACAAGGTAGTCTTGTTATATTTCTATTTTAATGTTCATAGCTTATTTCTTTCTGGTTTCTGGAAATCATAAAATCCTATGAGAGATGAGGATAGTGAGATGGGTCAGCAGGTGAGCCACCTGATGACCTCAGTCTGACCCCTGGAATCCATACAGTGGAAGGAAACAGCCAATACTGCAGTTGCCCTCAATTTCACACACACACCATAGCATGTGTGTCAGCACACTAAACAAAATGTAAAACACAGTTATAAAAGAGAGCGAGTTCTTGAAGGCTAACCCACATAGACAATGAGATACCTTTGAAGTGCTTATTACAGGATTTTATTTTAAAACCATGGTTTACTTTTCTGTTTCGTTAACAGAAGGTTGTTTTGGGGAAATCAAGATCCTATTCGCCCTGTTTCTGAGGCTGCTTTAAAAGCTCAGCTGACCAGGAGACTTGAGGACCTCGCTCAGCCCAAGCTGGTCTCCCGACACTATGTCCCTAACAGGTTGGTGCTGACATGTCATCAGGTTGCTTTGTCAGGACCCACAGGGAAAACAGAGAGCCCAGCTCTCTCACTGACTGTAAACTATTGTATTCAGAATCCAAGCTTACAGAGTTTAGCTCCATTCCACTTCCTGGAGCTCTTTCTCTCCTCAAAATTTACATTTGTAATTTACCCTGCTCAGCTTGCTCCTTCCTTTTCATTATAAATCATTAGAGTTTACCACTAATATCCACACTACAGAGACTATACTAGGCTGTTCTGAGATTTCCTCTGCCAACAGAATTAATCCAAAACTCTTCACTTTAGTCTCTGGCAGAGTTTTCAGACAAGAGCTAAAAGCAGCCTCTTTCTTCACCAAAATATCACAAGAATGACCTCTAGGCAACATTTTAATGTTCTCCTCGATAACCTCTTGATCCAGCCCTCCACAGTTATCAGATCACGTGCAGCAGCACTGTCTTCCATGCTCCTACTTGGATGGCCCATTAAGCATCACTTAAAGCATTCCACTGCTTTCCTAATCCAAAGTACCAAAGTCCAAATTCCTCCAAACAGAAATATAGGCCTATCACAGCAATACCCCAGTCCCTGGCACGAACTTCTGTCTTAGTTAGGGTTTCTATTGCTGTGAAGAGGCACTATGACCATGGCAACTCTTATAAAGAAAACATTTAATTGGGCTTGCTTCTAGTTTCGGAGGTTCAGTCCATTATCATCATGGCAGAGACCATGCTGGTAGAAGGCAGGTAAACATGGTACTGGACAAGTAGATGAGAGTCATACACCTTGCAGGCAAGAAGAAATCAACTAAGACACTGGGTAGGAGGCAGTATCCCAAGCACAAGAAACCTCAAAGTCTGTCCCTACGGTGACACACTTCCTCCAACAAGGCCATACCCACTCCAACAAAACCACACCTCCAAATAGTGTCACTCCCTATGAGATTATGGGAGCCAGTTACATTCAAACTACAATAGTACCTTAGTGTGGTTTCCGATCTCATACTGTATGAAATGGCAAATATGAGTCTTTTCTATAAAATAATATAAACTTGTATTTTTTTGTCTCTCCCACCTTGTAAGATTTGCAAATGTCTTCACACCTTGTAAAAGCTTAGTTTACTTAGTGACTCCTTTCCCTCCTTGACTTTCCTTACCATCGTTCTTTTCAGACTAGCCAATTGAATGAGACCGAGGTTGGACACCAGCCAATAGGGAAAAGACACAGCCACCACCTTAGAATAAAATCCAATTACACTTCCTGTCCCTGGACACACCTTCTTGATCAAGAGCAATGTTGCCTAGTCAGACAGTCAGACACTTCAGTTGGAACAACTCCAACCTTATTTCTAACAGTACCACTGGATCAAGATCAGTTCTAAGACTAGCCTTGAAGATTTGTATCCTATTTCCTAATGCTTTGGCCTATGTAGGCTTTTTTTTTTTTTTTTAAGGGGATTTTAAAGTGTGTATGTGTGTGTATAACTGGGTCTGTTACTGAACTTGAGGCTAGGTTGGTGGCCAGCAAGAGCAAACCCCAGGATCCTCCTGTCTCTGCCCACACTGGGATAATAGGCCGGGTGCATAACCATTCTTCCCTCCTCCCCTTCCACTCTACCCTCTCCCAATTTACTTAGGAGATCTTGTCTTGTTCCCTTTCCTAGGTGGATCCATGTGTGTCTCTCTTAGAGTCTTTATTCATTCTTGCCTTCTTATGTGGGCACAAAATTCAAACTCAGGTCCTCATACTTGCACAACACATCTTACCTTACCCTTAAAGAGTTTTCTTTTTCAGGGTTGGAGAGGTGGCTCAGCATTTAAGAGCACTTGCTGCTCTGGCAAAAGACCTGGGTTCAGTTCCCGGCACCCATACAGTAACTCACAACCATCCTAAACTTAAGTTCCAGGGTACCTTACAATCCCTTCTGACCTCTGTGGGCACCAGGCATATGCATGGTACACATCATGCATGAAGGAAAAATACTTATATACACAAAGCAAACAACAGAAAAAATAGCCCTGAAGTTTTGGGGATTTGTTTGGTTGGTTGGTTTGGTGTTTTGTTTTGGTTTTTTTTTTTTTTTGTTTGTTTGTTTTGTTTTTTTGTCTTTTGTTTTTTCCTCTTTATAGTTAAAAAAAATCATCTCAAGCTATCTGTCTGGAATTCTTACAGAAGCCCTTAATATTTCAAGCCTAGGCCTCAAAAAAAAAAAAAAAAAAAAAAAAAAAAAGAAAGCAAGAAAAAGAAAAAAGAAAAAGAAAACCTTTTATCTTTTTGAGATCATAATAGAATTACATCATTTCCCTTTCTTTTTCCTCCCTCCAAACCCTTCCATATACCCCTCCTTGCTCTGTTTAAAATTCTTGGTCTCTCAAGAACACAACAATAGACATGCTAAAGTGTATGGGAATGAGGGTGTGGGGGGACTTGAGGTCTCAAATCTGCACAAAGAGCTACAAGCGTGTAAGGAGTACCGAGCAGGAGAAACAGTCTTCCCCAGGCAAACATTCATCCAAACTGTTTTAATGGGAGACATTTTAGATGTTATGGGAAATCTGTTTGGATTCCCTCAGAGGACTGGCCACACCCTTCCTCTCAGTTCTCAGGGGGTCTTAGATCTTTTCTGTCCATATTTCCATCTGGTCTGCCATGCCAGGCCCTCTCAACTGACTGTGGTTTCCTCCACAGTGTCCTTCCCTAAGTGCATCCTGTCCTAAGGGTTTGTTTCCTATGATTAAGGTCTCCAAATTTTTTCTCTCTCCTTATCTCAGGTTGCGGGTTGCCACACAAAACTCTCCAGCACCACAGGGCTCCTTCCTAATCCAATGCTGGTTGAATTGAACTTTTGTTTCAGAATGACATCATGTAGGCTCTACTCATTGATGTATTTGTTTTTTAAAGTTTTTTTAAACAGTTTTTTCAGAATCCTTAAAGGAAATCACCTCATTTGTCTCAACAAGAGAATGCCAGTTATACATGGTTAATTTCACCATCTCTCCCAATGATTGTGAATGATCTTGTCGAGTTTACTGGCATTTTCCCATCATGTTTGTTTAACAATATCACTAAGTACACATCTACAAACACATTGTGATAAGTGTTGAAGGGACACAGCCAGATAAGACATAATGACCATGCTTAGAGGGTTTAGTATTTACTAGAGACATATTCAAGGTAAAATAACAGGAAACCTGTTGCCTGTCTGGAGGTCCAAAGCAAAGAAAATATATTTACCTGTGATGGCTTGAAGGGGAGACAAAGGAAAGTTTAATCATTCTATCCCCAGGCCTCCTTAGTCTACTGTCTTCACAAGATGCCATGTTTGTGCACCAGTAAATTATCTAGTATGAGCCAGGTGTGTGGCAGATGCCTTTAATCCAGGCATTGGGAGACAGAGGCAGGCAGGTTTGTATGAGTTTGAAGCTAGCTTGGCCTCCATAGTGAGTTCCAGGCCACTCTAGGCTATGTAGTGAGACTGTCTCAAAAAGCAATAAAACAAAACAAAACAAAAAAAACAAAACAAGTCTTTTTTTAAATATTTAAACTTAAATGTACATATGTGTACTGAAACCCTTAGAAGACTAACTACTTCCTCTTCCAAATTCACTGAGTTCACTTACATGTCCCATGTCTGTCTCCCACCCTCGAATGTATGACCTCATATTTATGTATGGAACAAGAAACATAGATAAATACAGCTTGTTGTTCACATGCGTGTATGTGTTTAGGGATGACTGCTTGGGGTTCAATAAACTATCAGGACCCTCATCCCTAGAGAGACTGAATCTCTCTGTCACCATTAATGTCCTGTAGCTCTTCATTTAGGGCCAGGGCCTTGTGAGATTTCCCCGTGTGCACTGGCATGTGAAAAGGTGTTGTCATCGTGCACCTCTTGTTTAGGTGACTATATTTTTTGAGATGTCTCAGGCATAGCTTCCCTGTCGTACATAGAAGACACAGTCTCACAGCAGACATTGTAGCCCTCTGGCTTTTACAGTCTTACACTCCCTCCCCTCCACCCCAATGTTCCTTGAGCTTCAAGCATCAGGGTTGCATTGTAGATGTATCAATTGGGCTTGCCTCTGACCAGTTGTGGACTTCTGTGATGATCTCTATCGGCTGCAAAAGGAAGCTTCCTGGATGAGGACTGAGCTGCGCTTATCTTCTGGTGTAAAAATAAGTAGAATGCATTTCATTTTTGCTTTTTTTGTTTGCTTGTTTGTTTATTTTCAGACAGGGTTTCTCTGTGTAGCCTTGGCTGTCCTAGAACTCACTCTGTAGACCAGGCTGGCCTTGAACTCACAGAGATCCACCTGCCTGTCTCTGGAGTTAAGGTGTGCACCGCCACCCGGCTCATTTCTGCTTTTTTAACCAGGCCTTGTGCAAAGCATTCTTTGAGTTTTCATAGTCAACACCTCTGGTCCATCTGGATAAGAGATCGTGTGTCCTCTGTGTTGAGCATGTAGGACTCTATGAACTCTGTCAGTTTTAAATCTTCATCTGATGAGACTCGGACCCCCTGCTCCCCTAACATTCTCTGATAGCTATGCTCCCTCGGTGGTCCTCTAAACCACCTATGCAAGCAGGCTGCAGTGACAGTATGGTCATCAGCAACATTGTGGTGAAATCAAGTCCTTCTGTCCTCTTCAGCTCAGGAATCCTTCATCCCACTGTAGCAGATAGGGGAGTTGTTTTCCCAGTCAAAGAAACCACCCCCTCCCTAACTCCAGATGGAGGACTTCATCAGCTCTCTGCACCACACTTCTTAAAAAGCTGCCAAGCATCTTCGATGTTTTCCCATCTACTGCTTAGCTTCTGCTCACACTCCAGAAAACCACAAAAGTCAGTTTAACTGAGAACAGGGTGAGAAGAAAGCCGCTGATTAAAGACTTCATGGGAGCACACAGCTTCCAGTGCTTGCTTCATCTCTGCAACTTCTCTCTCAATGGTAGAGCCTGCCGCTTCTGTCATTTGCATCTTCTCGTGAGAGTCAGTCATCAAAGTCTCACCCTGTAGGAGCAAGAGGGATAATAAACTCAGCATACGCTATTGTTTCAGTTAGCATATGGTACAGTCACACAGTGCCTTCACGCTGTCCTGTGACGGAAAACTCTGACATGTGTAGTGTGGCTTTGGTGTAGGCTGTAAATTTGACCTTTTCTCTCTCATTGAGTACACCGGGTGTGCTCATCTGAAGTAAAGGATTACATTCAGGTCTACAATCAGCGATCTCAGCCTGGCTCCTACTATGCAGACACCACCACTGCAGGGTTGAGACAGGGACATGGGGCCAGAAAACCTACCTGCCTTCCTTTCTTCCCTCCCTCCTTCTTTCCTTCCCTTTCCCTTCTTTCCTTGCTTTTTTTTTTTTTTTTTTTTTTTTTTTTTGAGATGATGTGTTTGTGTGTGTATATCTTGCCCAGATTGGCCTCAAATGGAATCCTCCTGCCTCAGCCTGGTGAGCGCAGGATTACAGGTGTGCACCATCACTCCTAGAAGAATTTGGCTTAAAAACAGCTAATCCTAGCTAGGTGTTGGTGGCTCATGCCTTTAATCCCAGTACTCGGGAGACAGAGGCAAGTGGATCTCTGTGAGTTCGAGTCCAGCCTGGTCTACAGAGGTAGTGCCAGTGCTAGGACAGAATCCAAAGCTACAGGGAAACAGTATCTTGAAAAACCAAAAAAAAAAAAACCACGTTGGGCGCCATTTTGTTACAAGCAGGGTTTCCCGCCATCTTGATCCCACAGCCATGCCAGCCCCAAATAACACACAGAGACGCTGTATTAATTATAATGTTGTTGGCCTGTTATTAGCATTACTTATTGGCTAGCTCTGTCTTAAATATTAACCCATTTCTATTAATCTAAGTATTTCCACATAGTCTTATCTTATGGAAGAGAGGGCCCAGCCCTCTGTTCTCTTGATCTTACTCTGCTCCTCCCTCTCCCCTAAATCTCCTTGTCTCCTAGTCCCACCTATCTTTCTTTACTATTGGCCAACAGTGCTTTATTCATTAACCAATAAGAGAAATATATTTACAGAATGACATCTCCCATCACCCAGCTAATCTTCTCCTCTCCACCCATTTGGAAGATACACATTGTTTAGTAAAGAAAACTACCTGTTTTAGATTAAGATAATTGAAAACATAAGCTGTAACCATTTATAAAAAAACTGACTTCTCCCAGTGTGGGAAATAGCTCTGTAGCACACACATAAGCTTTCTGCTTGCTACCTAAGGCTGTGAGTCAATGCTGCAGGATACTGCAATAATCTGAATTCTTTTCTCTATGCAACCTGCAGGGCTCAGTATTACTACAGCTGTGGCAGAGAGTCTGTAATTTGGGAGATCCCTCCTCCTGCACTGTTTACCCGACCTTCTAAACGGATCCAGAAGCTGGCAAAACCCAACAGATTCAAAACACAGTTTCTACTACATAGGTAGAGTATCTTAAACTCCCCAGAAACCCTGATCTAGCTTGCTTATGTTTTACAACATCGTAGCTCCAGCTTTGATCTGAGTGAAAAGGCTGTTTATGTTTAAACATCTTGGATAAAACTTGAATTATCTGCAGCAGGTGAGGGACCATCAACTATTACATTTGACTGGGAATTCTGGGGCAGAAATTCACAGTAAACCTCCTCACTCTCACACAGTAAAAGGAATCTCTCAGCCTGGTATGATGGTTCCTGCTTGTAATCTACAGCACCCAGAAAAAATCCATTACAACATGTAAAAGCTGCTAACTGCTCTCTCCTACAAATATCCATATTCATGCATACATGTGTCCACACCAGAATGCTAGCAAATCAAATCCAGACATACAAGCAACAGTTCATATGCTTGTCAAAAACCAAAGGACCACAAATGCAAACTTTTATTTCTGGATTGGCAGTCCCACTCCATGTACTAATGCTTGTCTTTATGCAACAATACACAATTTTGATATCACAGCTTTTTAGCAGATTTTGAAACTATAAACTGCCTTTGAACTTCGTTCTTCATATTCATGACCATTTTAGATTATTCTGGGTCTTTGTATAACCATATGAGTTTTGTTTTTTGGGTTGATGAAAATGCTCTCAAATAAATGCTGGTGGTCTAGAAACCACTTAGTTGTAGATGCTGAAAGGGTAAATTTTATGTATGTTAATTGTATCTTAATAGTAATAACAAAACCTAGAGCTGCCCACCCTTAGAAAGTCATCACATATTTGAGAAAACCTTTTTCCATGCCAAGTTTGTAGGTTTGTTGATTGACTGGTAGATTTTTGATCAGAGGAAAAAGTATGTGGTATACATTATAATAACTGGCCAAGTGACTGAGAGTTAAGACAAGGATTATTTCACACTGCACAGCAAAAAAGAATGATCCACAGGTAGTCCTCCATGATGACTGAGGGAACTAAGTATTTCAGGAAGTATTATGAGGTTTCGGTAGGAAGTGAGGTATTTTTCAGACTGTAGGTCAGAACCCATCCAAAATGGAACATAAAATTCTAAGTTTTCTTTCTATTTTTAAGATTTGTTTATTTTATATTTAATATACACTAAGGTTTTGCCTGCATGTATGTATGAGGGTGTCAGATCCCCTGGAACAGTAGTTGCAGAGAGCTGTGAACTACCATGTGGGTGCTAGGAATTGAACCCATGTCCTTTGGAAGAACAGCCAGTGCTTTTAACTGCTGAGCCATCTCTCCAGCCCCCTTCCTTTTTCTAATTAAATAAAACTTTTTAAAAAATTAGGGAGGGAGAGGGAACTGGGATATGTAAAATAAATTATATAATAAAAATGTTTAATGTAATGTAAATTAAACGCAAAAAGGCCAATTTCTAGATTTGCCAAGATTACAAGGGCAAGGTAATAAAATAAAGCCCAAACTGGTTTAAAAAAAAATTTTTTTTAGATCAGATTGTATGGTGTAGAAGCAGTGTCTTGAGAATTTTGCTCCCTATGTACAAGTATATTTACATACACTGTGACACATTGTGGCTTAATGAGAAACAGCAATCTGTCTAAAGAACTCTGGTGCGTGTGAGAAAAGATGTTCCTGCTTTCAGAGCGTGTGCATAGCTGCAGTTGGTTTTAGCCATGAACTGTTTGTTCCTCCTTCTGAAGTAGTATTTTATTTCCATTTGCATGTCGCCCCCAGCAATGATAACTTAGCCCCAGAGGCTGTCCGTTTCTCCGATCCTTCTCCCCGGATTCTGCAGCTCTCCGTAGCCAAAGGCACAGATCCCAGCTATGTTCCTCCAAAAAGCGTAAGTGGCGCCGGCCTGTGTCATGCCACACTCTGTGTGCCAGTTACTTCCTGTGTGGCAAGTACATGGCCAGAAGCAGCTTGAGGGAGAAGGGTTAGCTTGGGCTCACAGTTTGAAGCATTCAGTCCATCGCGGAGGGGAGGTAGGACAATTGGTGACTCCATGGTGGCAGCAGAAGATAGGTGGGACTGTGGACAGAAGAGGAAGCCGAAAGCAGACTGGAAGTGTGGGCAGGTACACTTCAACGCCTAGTGTGACCCACTTCCTCCTCCCAAGCACCGCTTCACAGAGATTATTCAACCCTCTAAAATAGCAATGCCCATTGGATGAGACCAAGCGTTCACACATACGACACTAAGGAACACATTTCACTTTCAAACCACAACTCCTTTCCTCTTTTTCTTTGTGGGTTTTCCTCTCTTACAAAATCTGTCAGGAATAGATCATAAAAGTGGAAACATGTCTGATATAGAACAAGGGATTTATTACATATATTAGCCCTTGAATAATTTCAGAACCGGATGAAGTCTATAGCAGGCTGGTACACAGTGGAGAGGTCATAGGAATAAGTGGGAAGTTACTCAGAAGGTATCCTGGGTATGTGGAGTCTAGCGCCTATCCAGGTGGAGAGGCTGGTAAGGAAATTAGTATTTAAGGTTTAGAATGTTGTGCCCAGACTCTAACCCCCCCCCACCCCACCCCCCACCCCCCACGCCACCAAAGCATCAAAAGAACAGATCCGATGCAAAAGCAAAAAGTCTTTTTAATTTACTAGTTAACTCAGGTCCTCCGTCCATCCCACACAGCGGGTGGAGTAGGAGGGACCCCGAGCAGCAGAGGGGCAGGGCATATTCTGGGGGTGGAGCAAGGTGGGGGTCGGGGCCTACTAGTTGCACCTCCGGGCTGGGAAACCTCTCCTGAGTTGGTCAGCTGCAGCTGCAACTGCAGCTGCAGAAAAGTTGCTATGCCTGGAGGCTATCTGAGGGCTGTTGCTACCTACTGCATTCCATTATTATCAGCAAAGCTCACCCAGAGCAGCCAGCTAGCTTCTGATTGGTTCCTTACCACTTGGAAGGTATCTGGTGGTTTATTCCCAGTAATTAGGGCAAGGGGGGCGGGGGATAGGCTCCACACATCCTGCTGAGTCAAGGGCCTACATCTTGCAGCCTGCCACAGCAGAGGGCTGGGTGAGGGTCTGGGCCCTTCAAGAGTACTCACTTTATTGGAAACTCAGGGTTTAGGGTCTCCTGTTTTATTGGAATCTGCCCATATATCACCATCCCAATTCTCAAGGCACCAGTGTTTCCCAACCATTGCCCTAACTTTAACATTAGTGACTGGACAAATTTGAAGTCAGATTTTATTGTAACCTACCCACCCACAAAATTAGATTGTGCTTTTCAGATTCCAGCCCTGTGACAGTAGAAGATAACGGTTTCTCTTGATAGAAGTCATTTCTGACCCTTTATTTGGATTCTAAGCTGGAAATGTCACTGGGTTTTTATACTTCCTGCTCCATTTAACAACCAGAGAAGATTGTTTTGTTTTGTTTTGTTTTTCCTCAAGCCCTTCAGCATCCTTACCAGCAAAGAGCCCACTGTACAGATCATCTTTATTTCATTGACATGTTCTTGGCATTGACTGTTGTTTGTAACAAAGCCCTTCAAACAATTTAAAACTCTATAAGTTTATTCTATTTGATTCATTTGTAAGTGACTTTGTCACCTACATCAGCAAATAAAACCTGAAATATTAGATTGCTATCTTAAAATGTAATATATTAAGCTTACAAATAAGGTGCAAATAATTTTCAATTTTTTTAAAAAAATTTTATGTGCATGGGTTTTTTTTTTTTTTTTTTTTTTTTTGCTCCCCTGGGCCTGGAGTTACAGGCCATCCTGGAGTTACAGGTGCTGGAAACTGAACCCAAGCTCTGAGCTATCTCTCCATGTCCAAATGAAAAAAATGTTATAAATGTTCCAAGAATAAACACAAAAGCTGTATTCTAACTCAATTCCTTAGTTACACATGGAATAAACAAAATTCTCTTAAATACACTTAAGTATGCATATAGTTTTTATATTATTAGTTTAAAATTTACTATAACTTATGAAATTATCATTTTATTCCTTCTGCATGTATGTGTAGTGCTCTCAGAATAACTTCTGAGAGTAAACTAGATCTATTCCCCCACAAAATTCTTTCTTGTTAATTACCAAGACAATGACTTCTTTAATAAACCACAGAAATATTGTTATCAAAATCAGAAAGTGTAAGACTAACACTATCGCGGTAAATAAGGATCAGGATAAACAAATAGGCCGAATAGATGTTTATTCAGGGAGAAATAACTTACAACCTAGACAGATGAAAACCAGGAAATTCAACCCGATCCTCTCCTGTCCGAGTCACACCAGAAAGAGAGCGCCTTTCCTGGCCCCCTCCAACCTCCTTCCACAGGTCACTTCTGCCCATGGCTCCACCCCCAATGGGCGTGGTCAGTGCCACAGAACTATCTCACTACATAATACAATAGTACTTTATCTGCCCTATGGTCTGTGTTCAGATTACATTGTTGTTGCAGTATCCTCAACACAAATGATTAATTTGTGTGATCAATTAATGGTTAATTCTATTATCAGTTCCTTACAGTTAATTATAAATATACCTCAAGTTTAACAGTTGCTCTTGCCCTCAAAGGAAGCTAAGGTCCTCTGTTGGGTTGGGTACCTGACATCATTTTGGATGGATGAACTAAAGGAAGCCTTTAACTGGCTGTCATTCTGAGTCCCCTTTTTCAGGAACTTTGTCACAGTTTACAAAACTGAAAAATGTTTCATCTCACGACTCACCTAGCATCTATCCTCTGTTCTCTGTCCACTTAGCTACATTCCCTATTTCTACCCAGATGAACCAACCCACAGATAAACCAACCCAATTGGATTCAAACACTTGTTGGCTTTTAAGAGACCAAGAGTTGTACATGTGAATTCTGCAGATCTCACACAGCATTGCTCCACTTGCTGTCCTGATTTATAAGGTTTTATTTCTGAGAATAAAAATTCTGAGAATAAAAATTCTGAAAGTAACTGGGCAGTGGTGGGGTACACCTTTAATCCCAGCACTCAGGAGGCAGAGGCAGGATGGTCTCTGTGACTCTGAGGCCAACCTGTTCTTGTAAGATATCCTATATTTTCTTCTAGATGCTTTCTAATTTTTACATTTGTAATAGTATGGTCTACTTTGAAGTTTTGTTTTTTGGGTTTTTTTTTTTTTTTTTTTTTTTTTTTTTTTTGGCACATGCTGGGAAGAGATTGAGGTTTCTTTAGTTCCACACAGATATTCATATAATTTGATTATTCCTTTTCTCTGTTAAATTATCTTGGGTCTTTATGGACTCTGAAATCTGTTATAACTATTTACTTGTCTATTTTTACATAGGTACTATACTGTCTAGACTATTATGGTTTTACAATAAATGTTTATTCTAACCTGGAGAGAAATAAAGTAAGACCTCTAGTTTTGTTCACATTTTCACTTAGGTTTTGGCTGTGGTAGCCTTCTGCGTTTCCACACAGCTCAGACTCCATTGTGTTTTGTTGCTCTTTGTTGTGTTGCTTTATAGAATTGATTGATTGTTTTATTCCCCTTTTGATTGAAAGGCTTAATTAAAGGCAGTGGTTGGCTTATTCTTTCAGGTCGCCTAGAGCCCTGAAGCAGACAATGCTTTATTCATAAGAAGCACTTTAAACACTTAATTAGTTCTTTGTGGTGTTGAGACATGTACGGTCCTCAGTTTGAATCCCAGCTTTGCCATTTCCCAGTTATATAAATTTATACCATTGAGAACCTCCAGGGCTTGGTGCTGAGATAGGAATGGAAACGATAACCCGGCAAGGAATGAATTATCTAATGCACATGAAATGCTGTCACCGGTGACTCACCAATGTCATCTTCATTCAAACAGCACAAGGACAAATTTGGAAAACAATTTACTATTTCCTCTTCTGCCTGCAATTAAAGGCCTATTCTGTTGCCATTGATTGACACACATCCTCCCTTCAAAATCTTTTTTTTTTTTCAATTTAATTTTAGATTAATTCTATGTGAATTTTGCCTGCATGTCTACATATGCATCACTTGTATGACTGATGCCAGCAGCGGAGGTCAGCAAAGGACAACAGACATCCTAGAACAATTGGTTGTAAACTAGGTGTGGGTGCTGGGAATGGAACCCTGGGCCTTCATAAGAGCAGCAAGTGCTTTTGGCCATTGAGCCAGCCCATATCTAACTAGCTCCCTGGCAGAGGTGTGTGTTTCTGTTTTCTTCTGGCTTTGCTGCTTTTCTTACTTGTTCCAATTAGAAGAGAGCCACTTAGGTAAATGTTCTTACTGTGGTGATCTGTGATGCTGAGGCTCTTTTCCCCAAAGGGTTAAAAGTCTTCTCTTTTGGGTGTTCTCATATGATAAAGCATACCTTCTCTTGGCCGACTTCATATTTTGCTATTATTTTTTTTAATCACAGTTATTTAATGTGGTGTGTGTGTGTGTGTGTGTGTGTGTGTGTGTGTGTCTGTGTGTACCAGTGCACGGGCAACCATGCCATGGTATACTTATGCAGATGAGAGAGGACAGCCCGGTGGTGCTGGCCCTCTCCTTCTACCTTGATGTGGGTTCTGGGGACTGAACACATGTTGTCATGCTCACATGGTGATCACTTGACCTGCTGAGCCATCTCACTAGACCTTGGCTGACTCTCTTAGTCCATAAGTCAGCATTGTAGTCTATTTCTGAATTTTTATGTGGCATCAGTGGCTGTCTCTCCCACTCTGCCATAAAAACTGAACCTGTGGAAAGCTGGCTTGGTACCCATACAGTCCAGTTTGAGTGAGATAGAATTGATTCTGCTGAGGATTACTGTGGGATTCCCATCCTATTGGCTGAATTGTTGTGAAGCCTAGTGGCTCTGAGCTCAGATCCTAATTGTATAGTGCTGAGCAGGACCCACACTCATGTACTGTTTTCTTTTTCCCTCATAGATTGAAACTAAGATTTCCTTCTCTACCTTGAGTGCTGTTGCAAGCCCAAGGATTGTAGATCTTGCCCACCCAAGGATCAAGATAGAAGGTCTATGCTATGAGAGAGTAAAGAGTGAATTGCCCATCCGTCCCGTAAGCCATCCTTGCCTCATCCATGTCTTTCTGACTGCCTCAACAAGGCATACTCCAAAATCATCAGAAAAGATGATTTTGTAGTGGGAAGGGAGGCTTACAGATATGATAAGGGGAAAGGCAGAACATGGGCTGGTGTGAGTCTTTTTTCAAGACAGGGTTTCTCTGTATTGCCTTGGAGCCTATCCTGGAAATAGCCCTGTAGACCAGGCTGGCCTCAAACTCACAAAGCTGGTGTGAGTCTTTGCAATGAGCTCTCCACAGTGAGGACCGGCTGTTACACACCACTCTCCTTACTTTACCGATAAAGTAACAGTAAAGAGACAACACGGCAGACATGCCTTTCAAAGCAAAATAAGAAGACAATAGTCAGGTGTCATGTATTCATGTGGCACCTATTAGGTACTAGAGCCTGAATTAGCATCTGGCAGATAGTCTTTCCTGAGCAGTTCATGTTGTAATGGAAAAATCAGATGATGGACAGGCAGATGAGTTTACACTGTACATACATGCTATAAGGAAGATTAAATGGGCCAGGTACAATGGTACACACATGTGTTCTCTCAGTGTTTAGGAGTCTGAGGCAGGAGGAGCTCAGATTTGAGGCAGAGTTGAGTTGAATAGCATGAGCTAGGCACCGGGGCTTTAGGATTATCTCAAACAAGCAAAGGGACAAGCAGTAAGATTAACTAAGTACTGTAGTGAAGGCCTGTCAGAAAGGGCCATCTGTTCCTGCAGGTCGGGAAGCCCTCCTTAGGGTCTGATGAGTCTGATCTAGGTACAAATTGGGGGGGGGGGGTATCTCAGCCAAGACTGAGGAAAGACATCTTAAGTAGAGTAGTAAGTGCAGAGGTCCCGAGGCCAAAAGAGTCAGGACGAATGAGGCCTTGTGTGGCTGCCAAGAGTCACAGTGTCCCTGATGGCGGGGGAGAACAAGAGGTTAGAGAAATGGGGTGGCCTCTGCAGATACAGGAACCAGCCAATCCACTCTACCAAGAAGGGGTTAGTACCTGGGGGTGGTGTGCTCCTTAACTTTAGGAAGTGCTTGTCTGGCGGAGTGTTGTGATGATGACATGGGAATGGCAGAGGCAAGCCACTCAGAGCTGACCTGCAGTAGCCATCAGGGGAAGGCTGGATTGCTCAGGCTAGGAGGGAAGGCAAAGAGATCGGCAGGGAGTTCTGCAGACTATTACGTATTTTAGGAGAGGAACGGGAGGGAGGTAGGCATGGGAATCCTGGGATGGAGAGTTGTATCTCTGTTTTTGCTACAGGTAGCCCCTGCTGCCCTGCTTGCCAAACCTACTGCCCGAACCATAACTCTAGCAAAGTCCAAACCTGTTCATGTAGATTATCTCCCTGCCCGAGATGCCCGATGGCCTGTATCTTATGCTGCTGCCCACTCTCAGGTGTCTAGTAGAGTCCAGGAGCTGGCTAATCCACCCACAAGGTATGACAATTTAAGACTAAAGTGGGGCAGGAAGGGTTAGGGTCTGGAGAAAGGGAGAAGGTTGATCTAAAGTTAAAAATCAGCAACAAAAAGGGCAAATTTTGGGGGGCATGGAAAAGAGCAAAGCCTCTGGAATCTGACAGCGTGAGGACCCTAGATCATGCTTATAGTATCTTGAGTCTTCATTTCCTCACCTGTATAATGGAGACCATGAAATCCCTACTGGACTATAATACCCTAGTGCTTATCATGGGGGTGAGGTGTGCTTAGGAAATAGAAGTTCCTTTTTTTCTTCTCCTTAGTCTGAATGCTTTCTTTTCCTACTATTCCAGGGCTTCAGTGCATATTGTATACTACGACCCAGACGTCTTTAAAGTCAAACCTTCTGCTTTGAAAGCACAATGTTCTCCCAGGGTCAAGGAGCTGGCAGAACCCATTGTGCGCTAACTTCAGCAAGCTACCAGAGGCTGACATGGGTATCCAGAACATGCAGCTGATGACTCTGTTCCCTGCCTTGGTGTTTACATCTTACCAGTCTCCTCCCAAATGTGAGCCTTCCAGGGAATACCACCATGAGCATCAGATAGGCACTGTCTGTGATCCTATCTTTACCGAGTCTGGGGACTTCCAACCCTGTAATAAAGGGGAAATCAATACCTGTTTCAAAATCCCTCCCACTCACCCTGGCAGGCATCTTGGCTGCTCCCTCACAGTGCTGTGAGGAATGACTCACTTTCTAACAGTTGAGCACTCTGCTGCTCCCACCCCCATCCCCAGCCAACTGTCTCCAGACCTTCTCCACAAAGTCCTGGGAATTGAGGTCACCCTTCATGTTGCCGCGTCAATCTCCCTTCATCATCTGCAAAAAAAAAAACCATCACAGAAGAGCTTCTTTGGATGAGATGAAATGGCTTTCATAGTCTCTTTTAGGGAACTGCTTGCATACTTAAATTTACCTCTTCACCAGTCTCCACTGCCTGCGCAGCCACCCTCCATAAAGGACAGAAAAGAGATACCCACACGGTGAAGCAAGTATGCACTCATAATCCCATATAGGAAGGGAGCCCAAGAGCTCAGGAGCAGTGGGCAGCAGTGACATCCCACCTCAAAAAGATAAACACAGTTTTAAGAGGAAAAGGCTTGGTGATGTGGTCCATGTCTGTAATCCCAGAACTTCAGAAATTGGGAGACAGAAGCAATAGGATCTACCACATAAAAAGTTCCTGTCTTGGAGTGTGTGTGTGTGGGGGGGGGCCAAGATATTAGTTTTAATGGCAAGCATGAAAAATATTCTATCATATTGTATCTGCTTAGAGTTTTTTAATTTAGTCCTCTCCATGTACCACTATTTCAAAAATTTAATTTTTATGGGACATGCCTAGATTGGCATGAGTATGAGTTTACTTGAAGTCTTATTTTACAATTTAAGAGCTACATCTAGAAGGATTTTGGAAGGCAGTATTATATAATAGGTTTTTTGTTGTTGTTGTTGTTTGTTTGTTTGTTTTGTTTTCCTGTGAGCTTGGAGTTAGACAAATCTGGGTTTGCAGCTCTCCTGGACAATTTACTGGGCGTTTGAACTTGAACCAATTGCTTTATGCCCTATGCCTCTGTTTCCTTATATATAAAGAAGGCTCTCCCCACAATGTTGAAAAGATTAAATGAAAAAAAAAATACATGTAATAAAGTGTGAATATGAATTGAAATTTGTTTTTAAAATTCACTGTGTTTTCTGGGAGGGAGAAATGGCATACTTTATATCAATGAGAAAAACATGGCTTGATTTTTTTTCCCCATGAAGTGCATGTTTGTTGACTACTTTTGTAGGTACTGTGCAAGGAACTGGAGGTACAGTACAGTGAGCCAATCAGACGCTAGTTCTGTCCTCACAGCCTGTTCATCTCCATGACATCCCCTTAAAGAAGTGTAAAATGGCCACAGCAGTAGTAATATGAAGCAGTGTTGTGAAATTACAGAACAGAGAGCCCCAATCCCTTAGGAAAGGTGGGGAAGGTTTTCTTCAATGGAGAGACAGTTGAACTGGAACCCTGGAACCTGAATATTGAGTAGGAGAAACTTAACTTCAGAGTGGACAGTAAGGCATTCCAGAGAGCGGAAATATATGTTTCTGGGATGTATTTGAGCTTCGGGTTATCTTGGAGCGATTCTTCCTCCCTTTGCAGAGCATCTTCAGTTTCCTTTCCAGGAGTTACCTTCTACTCACCCAAGCTTTACACAGGCGGGTGGGCACATAGCTAAGGATTGGGACAGTGCTTGTCTAATGCACAAGACCCCAATTACAACCCCCAGTATCTACATTGTAAATAGATAAGTAAGGGGGCTGGAGAGATGGCTCAGTGGTTAGGAGCACTTGCTGTGCTCACAGAGTGTTGTGCCTAAAGAAGCCTGGGTGTGAGGTCTAGTAGAACTTCCTGAGCCTGGCTAAAGTTTGACAACCTGTCTTTGGCCTGTAACCTTTGCATGGGAGTGACTCAGCAAGGTCTGATATAAGACTGTAAGACCCTCAGAATAAGAAGTCTCCCAGTTTCAGTCGGTACCCCCAAGAACTCAATGTCCAGTCCAGTTGCTGCAACACGCAAGAGACTTTAATGAATAGGAATCGTTTGCGCAAATGGGCTCCCTCAGCATGCAGGCCAGAAAGAAGCCCCATTCCCCTGGCACAGGTGTTTTTAAAGGCAAAACTCACAAGCTTAGGGAAGGGGTGTGACCCTCTGTCCACTGAGTACGTGACCCTTGTGAGGGGAAGTTAGCAAATTCCAGGTCAGACTGTCCTTTATTTCAAATGGTGGTAGTGGTGGTGGGGTTCCTTAACTTTACTTTTTTGTCTTTCATTCCCCCCCTTTTTTTTTGTCAATAGTTCTAATCTTAGAATTAGGGAAATTAAGAGGCAGCCTCCTCTTGGCTTGAAAGACTTAAACTAGCAAAGAAATGAAATGAAGCCCAAATAATTGGAATGCTGGGTGGAATTTGCTAACCACCAGCCCTGAGATAGTAGGATACCAAGAATTCACACTGCCTCTCCTTTCCGTGAGTCAGCAGGTGATGAATAGGGTCCTTAAGAAACAAAGAGATAACTGTACCTCCGGTTTTCCCAGACAAGATTAATTAGCACACCCCAAGGTCCTAAGGTCTGTTGACCCTAACAGTGAGACCATCCGGCCTCAAAGGGTCACATATTCAATGGACAGAGGGTCACACCCCTTCCCTAAGCTTGTAGGTTTTGCCTTTAAAAACACCTGTGACCAGGGATTTCTGAATCTTCTTCGAATCCCCCATGACAGAGCCCCTTACCAGCAGGAAGTAGTTTGGAAAGAACAACGCCAAATTCCCAAATATTGTCTATAAATGTTTGTTTTCATTTAAATGGACTTTGTTATATAAAATAAATTTTTAAAAAAATTAAAAAAAAAAAAAACCCACCTGTGACCAGGGAAGGGGGCTTCTCTCTGGCCTGCGCACTGAGGGAGCCCGTTTGCACAAATGACTCCTGTTCATTAAAGCCTCTTACGTGTTGCAGCAACTGGACTGGGGGTACTGACCGAAACTGGGAGACTCCTCATTCTGAGGGTCTTACATGCTCGGGAGGTTCCTGTACTGTTATCTAAGTATTATAATCTGGACCACACTCATTTATTTTTTTTTAACATAAGTAACAATTTTTTCAACAGTAAGCAACAAGCAATAAAAATGAGCAGTTGTAAGAGGCTGTCCCTGGGTCCTATAACCTCGAGTGGCATGGGGGTGGGTCCAGAGGAGGAGGACATATTCGGGACCGGCTGCAAAGTGGGCCTTTTCACTGAGTCTCAAGGTTTCCTGTGCAGTGACATCTAATGTAAGCTGGATCTCCAACTTGGAAGTGATGTGGGACTTCCAAGTCTCCCACCAAGTAGGCCTCCCGGAGCTGCTTCCACGATCGCTGTCTCACCCACTCGAGCACCTTAAGCCTAGCAAACAGAGGCTGGGAGAACAACACATCAGCACTATGTACAGAGGCAATTTCCACCAGTGGAGCCCCCCCCCACACTGCTAGAGCCATTTATAGGTGTTCAGCCCAAACTTTTTTGTCTTTCAAGATGACCCCCTTCCTAGCTAACCGCTAGCTTGGTGGAATATTATTGGCCCTTTCTCTTCACATCACCTTACCCCATCCTAAGATTCCCACTCCCTACCCCAACCCTATATAAGTCCCTTCTTGATGCAATAAACTGAGTTCCTGCCCCTGACTAGGCTCCCTGTCACATCTGATTGTCCTTGCTGTGGGCAAGGGCTGGGGAACAGGCGGACAGCATGCTCACCTTTCCTCAGTCCTCTCCTCTGAGGGAGGAACTGTGGAGGGATGACCCGGCAACAGAGGACCCAGGTTCAGTTCTCAGCGCTCACATGGCAGCTCACAACTACCTGTAATTCCAGTTCTTGGCTATCTGAGGCCCTCTTCTGGCCTCCTCAGACAATGCATGCACATGGTACAGTTACATATATACTGGCAAAGCATTCATACATGTAAAAGTAAAATCTTCAAAGGAAAAAGCACTTGGGAGGTAGAGGCAGGAGGATCTCTCTGAGTTTGAAGTCAACCTGGTCTAAATATCAAGATCCAGTTTATCAGGGTTATACAAGAGACTCTTTTTAAAAAAAATTATGGTGACTTTTCTTCAGAGCAGCCTAGTGAAAGGATGGACCCTTGTTTAAGGCGCCCAGGCCTGATGGTCATTGTCTGAAACTCTGGGTCTTGAGAAGAATGATACCAGGGTGTGAGTGGCATCTGCTCTAGGTCTTCTGATGCTTTCCCACCTGTGACCTGGGACTCTTCTCAGTCCCCTGCCCTCAACTACTCCTTTTATTTAGGAACTGCCCATAACCTTCTAGTGAATCCTTTGCAGCAGCTGGGAGAGCACATCATAGGCTGAAAGAATGTTGGTGTGGCTCCAAAAGAGAAGTCTGCAAGACACCAAAGGAAGCTGGAGGAAGGGAGCCAGGCACTTGGGGCACTGGAGGTCAAGTTGTGCATTTTAGTCTCCATCCTAAAGACAATGGAAAGCTACTGAGTTAAGTACATTGAGTAGAAGAGGGTGTAGAATATCCCCGGTCCTTAGAAAGTGTGTCTGGACTTTGGACAGAGAGCAGAAAGCTTTCTTGCATTGCCTCTTAGTTTCAGCTCAACAAGTTTGTTATCACAGTAACCCCACTGTCCTTGGGTGAGATGTTCCAAGTCTTTTGTGGACATTTGAAACTGAAGAGACTGCCAAGCCATTTATACTTTTTCTACATGTGAATGGATATGAGGACATTTCATTTATTATCACTATTATTATCTTGGCTTTTTTTTTCTTTCATACAGGGTCTCTTTATGTAGCCTCAAACTCATAGAGATCTGCCTGCCTCTGCCTCTTGAGTGTTGGGATTAAAGATGTGCACCACCCAGGCCATAAGAAAGTTTAGTTTATGCCAGGCAGTGGCAGGTGGAAGTGCATGCCTGAGAGGCAGAGGCAGGCAGATCTCTGAGTTCAAGGCCAGCTTGGTCTACAGAGCAAGTTCTAGGACAGCCAGGGCTACATA